TTCCTTTAGTGTTTTCTTTATCTTCTTTCCTTCCTCCCACCCTTCTGGAAGGCCATCTGTATCTGGCAGTTACTAGTTCTTTTGTTTCAAGGCTGCCATGTACTTTGTTATAGATTCTTTACAAAAAGTCCTGTCCCTGTCTGCAGTATACCACAAAATAACACACCGGTTTCCTACTCAAGCTTGTCTCTTTCCGTGCTTTCTCTGATTAAAAAGCTCGATGTTAATATGAATCTATCTGATGACTGAAGCGTTGGACAAGTGCCCTGTGAGCAGAAGACCAAATTTTGCCTGTTTCCTGCCCACTCCCCACCTATTTCTCCCCCAGTCTGGAATAGTTGTACTTACTGTGGAAAGCTCCTCACAGCTCTTGGAAGTAGTGATTTGCCTTTGCAGTTGCAACCTGAACTATCTTCTAGAGGATCCCTGTTATGGAGAAACTATTGTTATTGTTTCTCCCTATTATTGTTCCTCCTGTGCAGACATCTTGTCTGCTTATTCTGGAGCCTTTAGTAAGTGTCAATAGAAATTGTGGTTCTGTGAAACAGGACATCTGTATGTTAAATGTGATTTCTCTTCATGTGCGCAATCTGGTGTGTGCTCTTAAAAATAAGAGATCAATATGTACTTCAATGTGTAAATTGTTTTGTGCTTGTGTATTCCAATAGGCTTTTGGACACTTGGAAGATGTTTCAAAACTTAAGGAGAGGAAAGTGGTTGGCTACAAATGTAAATTTTGTGTGGAAGTCCATCCAACACTTCGCGCTATCTGTAATCACCTCCGCAAGCATGTCCAATATGGGAATGTCTCTTCTGTGTCAGCTACAGTAAAGGTGAGAATTTAAAAAAGGTAAATAAAGGTGACCTGTAATTTTTTGTTTTGTTGTGTTTGAGATTAAGGCCTTACTGAAAGGCCATGGAGGACTCTCGTGGAGTTGAATGTGTTTTGGACTGGGTTCTCTTTTCAGTTCAGCATGACGTTCTAATCTAACATTTCAGTTTTCTGCAGTGCGTTTGTTTGTTTTGAGATGTTTTAACTTTCTTCCGCTCTTAATCTAGGGACATGAAGACTATCTAATTCCCATTTCTTCTCTGCCACAAAGGAGTTGGTGCCGCTGATGACCGAGAGGCTTGGTTTATGAGCAGGAAACTTTCAGCTATTTTAGGCTACTTTTTTCTTTAGTTAAACTCTCATTTTTAAGCAGAGGAAGTGTGCTCCTGCAAACGTGTGAAGTTGCTTGTGGTATGCCTTTGCAGATGCAATTGCCATGCTGGCTCCAAACGAAATATTCAAACTGGCCAGCTGAGCTTTGGTTCTATTCAGGTGGTTAGTTGTAAACAAGTTGTTGCTTTCTCCCTGTGTAAGGGAACATCTTCTAGGACATCTCCAAGGACAGGCTGTGCTTTGCAGCCCAGTTGTTTCCAGGATATTGGCAGGGGAAGCTGCAGGTGCAGTAAGCTTGCAGAAACTGGCTGTGCATTCCTTCTCCTCGTGCTGTAGTGAGCACTCGCTACAGATTCCCACTGCAGCTCTCAGAGCGTAATTTAGAGTGCCTCTTTTGTGCCATCAGCTGTGTGCTTTAAGGAAGCTGAGTCCTTCAGAGTCAAACCCATGCTACTTGAGAGAGCTTTCGTTGTCCTACCGCTGACTTTCTTCTAGCTTACCTGATACTATCAACAGATTGTGGTACTTTCCTCCTATCAAACCATTTCCTCTCCTCCCTGCTTCTCAAGTGAAGTTTATGTGGGGTCAGTGGTATCTTTTGAACAAATAGATATTAAACAGCAAGGAACAAAAACTGAAATCCAAGAGCAGAAGAACGTGATGTAAATATTCTTAGGAGTTTTAAAGTTACTGCAAAATGCGTTATCTGATAATTAAGTTAGGAAAGGGAACAAGAGAAAAATCTTTGTTTTTCTTTTTTATGAGGGTTCTAGGGTCTTGCAATACCAGCTTCTTTCTTGTGAATTTGACACTAATAGACAAAGTCTACATGGTAAAATACACTGCTGTGACAGTCTGTAGAGGAGCTGCTCTGTGAACTAGAGAAAGTGAAGAAAAATGAACTTGCTCCGTACCTTGCTAACATTTGTCAGATCAATTCTGGAGGATTCATGCCAAGACTCTTGAAAGACAGATGATTCGTTTTCTAGTCTTTTTGTCTCGTCTAACACAGATCTGTTCAAACTGTGAGATTTGTTTTCCGCTTGTGTGTTTGTATATGATGTGTGTTTGTATATAATTACTTTTTTTTCCTCCCTTAAAAATAGGGTCTCTTTTTTCAGAAAGCCATTGGTATGGAGTGTGCTTAGGGATATATTTAGAAAAATGAGACAGTGGGAAACCTAGACACTGAAATGAACACATGGGAAAGATTAAGGGGCAGAAGGGAGAGAGAATTGATGGCTTTGGGGGGGTATGTGTTTTTTAGCAGGAAGCTGAAGATTCTTCAAACACAACTTTGATGGAGGGTTGTGAGGGAGCCAAAGACCCTGGCATTGTGGAATTTACAGAAGCTGAATCTGGAACATCCTTGGAAGATGAAACCAGGCCTGGGGGCTACCACTGCAGCCAGTGTGACCGGGTTTTGATGTCTATGCAGGGTCTACGATCTCACGAGGGGAGTCACTTGGCTCTCGCCATGTTTACCCGGGAAGACAAGTACAGCTGCCAGTATTGCTCCTTTGTCTCAGCTTTCAGGCACAAGTAAGTTATGGTTTTTTTTTTTATTTTCAAAAGAAGAACAGAGTAGCACTACTGTTCGTAGGTTGATGTTGAAAGAAAGCGCATGCAACTTGACTTTGAGCAACATTTTCCTCGATGTTTAGATATTTGCTATGCGCCAAAACCTTTAGCCATTGTATGTGGCTGTTTAGAAAAGGTCACATCTTTGTATCTTCTTGAATTTAGAGTCCTTTTTTTTGTTGCGTGTAGGGGAAAT